GTGTGTGTGTGTGTGTGTGTGTGTGTGTGTGTATTCTGTGTGTGTGTGTGTGTGTGTGTGTTTATGGTGGATCTGTTGAATAACACACCATCCATGTCACTGCCTGCTTACATTCCCTGTCATCTGTATCCCACGTACACAGATGGTAGCAGAACGGTTGATGGAAGACTACAACCGAGCCTTGGCGCATATCATGGTGGACTTTGATCTCTTCAATGAGACTGAGATCATGTCGGAGTCAGTGGTCAAGTTCAGTCGAAAGGTCACCCGCAGCTCCAAAACACGGGATGGCGATGCGCAGAAGCGGCTAAATAAGGTATGGTAGGTATATAACTGGAGTAATCTATAAATAACACGGTGTGAAAACTCCAGTCACGGTGTGAAGACTGAGTAGGTATTGCTGATAAGATGTGCTATTTATATAGCTGAGGTGTTTTATAAATAGTACGAGATTTCAAATTCGGTGCGAACACGTGCGTACAACCGTATTTATCTGTCTTGTGCTATACGCATGGCAGCACATTGCACGCATATTACACTTGCACGCGTAGAAGTGAGTTTAGAGTTCGCGTGTGATTATGTATATGTATTTGCTTATGTATATGTATATGTATATGCATATGTATATGTATATGTATATGTATATGTATATGTATATGCAAATACACACAAGCATATACAATGATCCGTAGCCACTCAAACTCCCCACTCCCCACACACCCATGCACAATGACCCATCAGGTGGTCAAGGACCTTCGGGAGAGCTTCATGGCCGACTTTGAGGAAAGTGTCAAGGACAACTGGGAGACCCCCGTCACAGGCGATGTCATCTACGACACCGTGACCATGCAGAAGGCCAGTGCTTGGTAATGCGATGTGTTTATTTATGTTTGTTTACATACATGTGTGCATGTGTGCGTAGGGGTTGTGTATATGCTTGTGATAAGTGCATACAGGCTTGTATTGATATAGTATATGTAAATGCTTGTTATAGGTGCATATAGGCTTGTATTGATATAGTATGTGTATATGCTTGTTATGGGTGTATATAGGCTTGTATTGGTATAGTATGTGTATATGCTTGTTATAGGTGCATATAGGCTTGTATTGATATAGTATGTGTATATGCTTGTTATAGGTGCATAAAGGCTTGTATTGATATAGTATATGTATATGCTTGTTAAAGGTGCATACAGGCTTGTTTTGATACACTGTGTGTATATGCTTGCTATAGGTGCATATAGGCTCATATTAGTTTTGTCTGTGTCTATGCTTGTTATATGTGTATGCGCACGTGTCTGTTACCTGTCGCTGGGTTTGGGTCGTGTATGCCCTGATGGCTTATTTGTGTATATTCGTACAGCGTGTGTGTGTGCTTGTGCGTAGTTTGCTACTTGTATCTCAGATGCGCAATTATGCGTGTGCCGTATGAATGTGTTGGTCAAAGTCTTTCATAATATTCATATATATCTTATGACTGTGTGGGTTAAAATTAGCTTTAATAGTCATACAGGCCGTGTGCATGCGTGGGTGAGGTCAGCCCATAATATTCATATACGTCGTATGAGTGATTTGAGCCAAAGATTCGAGTTGATATACAACCAAATATCTCAAGTGAATTGACTGGGTGTTCGCCTCAGAAATTTTTTTTTAAATAGTTTTTTTTTCTTTTACAATTCCGAATACTGTGATGAACGAGGCATTTTGTCCATTTCAGCCTTGCAATTGTTTACACACTTGCATTATGGAGAATCCATCCATTGTAGCTGTTGCAAATACACAAAGCTTCCCTTCTGAGCTACATCATCCTCACTGCACACGCGTAAATTTCACCATCCTTCTCAAAGTCATACAGCACCTCTGCTGAGCTATATCATCCTCAATGTACATATGTATGTGCCTCCGTTATCTCCCTCTCCCTCGTACATATGTACTTAAGTCTCTCCGTCGTTGTCTCTGTTCTTTTTCGCACATGTGTACATATTTGTATGCCTCTGTCATCTCACTCATCCTCGTACATATATACTTAAGTCTCTCCGTCGTTGTCTCTACTCTTCTTCGCACATGTGTACATACATACCACTTTATTATTCCCACCGCAGAAGCTTCGCCCCATTCCATATTGCACATATCTATGGTAAAGAGGCCATCCATATCATCCCTAGCAACCAGAAACGACATCGTATTCGCTTTGCATGCCTCTATTTCAATCCTCCAACCTCCGACAGAGTTACAATCCTTCCACCGTCGTTGCATACTACTTCGTCTGTAGCATATACATCTGCACCATTATGTTGCCTCTCCATACCGTCGTTGCATACTACTTCGTCTGTAGCATATACATCTGCACCATTATGTTGCCTCTCCATACCGTCGTTGCATACTACTTCGTCTGTAGTATATACATCTGCACCACTATGTTGCCTCTCAATACCGTCGTTGCATACTACTTCGTCTGTAGCATATACATCTGCACCACTATGTTGCCTCTCCATACCGTCAGTAGATTCTCCTCCCCCACTCGACAAACGTATTGGTGACGAAGCTCTGCTCAAGAGTGTGCAGCGTGGTGCTCACGACTGTATGATGTACGCACTCGTATGGGAGACCATCTGCATGACACGGCACATATCTCGGTCCCGTCACATTCAATCACCCCAAAGTACGAACAGGCATTCATACTCGCAGATGTAGCACACTCTCATCTCCTGACTTTATCTATACCTGTGTAGGTATACACACTCTCATCGACTGACTTTATCCATACTTATGTAGGTATGAGGTGGCCTACACCCAGTCGCCAAAGAACAACAAACGACCCCTCCTGAGCTTCGCCTGGATTCCCTACAAAGTTCTGTGCGCCATAAAGATACACGCCACTCCAGAGCCACCACCCGCCTACTAACACCAGACACGCGGTGGTGTGCTACTGATCTATGTAGATCACAGGTAGTGGACATGTGAGGTGGATAGTAGTGTGCGAGTTATTTATGGAGATGGGAGGTGCAGAGTGCCTAGATCGTCTATCTAGTCGTACACTATGGCAGTGGTTTATAGTCAGTTGACAAAGGTGGAGTGTGTACATGTGGGGCACACAGGAGCGGAAGGTGGTCTGTGGGGAAAGCTAAGTGTATGGGGACGTAGTGCGGAGCAGGCGTACCGTAGGCACTATCTGACCATTCTGCGGGAGAGTGGGTAGTACATTGCACCTAACCACTTCATGGGGGGGGGGGGTGCTAACCACTTTATAAGGGTTACTTGAGGTACCTATTCAATTCATTATGAGTACTTAACCACTTCATTGGGGACATCTTAGGGGGTACCTATTCACTTCCATTGGGGGCACTTAACCACTTTTGGGGGTGCCTATTCACTTCATTAGGGGTGCTTAACCACTTTATTGGGGTTTCCTTCATCCATACTTAACCCCTTGATTGGTGTTTTGCGTGGATAGATCATGTGCACAAGAATCGGCTACAGGTGACCATAGCAGCGGGTACAAGTATCTGAGGTACTGCGCTCGGTAGTCCTTACCTACCAACACTAGCACCACTTTGCTAGACCGCAGTCCCGGTACCACCCACTCCACTCCACTCCACCGGGATTGTGTGCATCTGGGGTAGACGACTACAAGCACGTTCGTGTATGGGGGAGTATGTATCAGAGACGGAGGACTATGCAGCGATAGCTCTGCTCAGCAATCGTAGTTGACTGAGATCGAAGACCACCAGAGCGACCCTCGTGCGCAGAAGGTGCTCAACAGGTCACACGCGATGTGTGTGGAGTCACCCATCAGCGCTGCAACGTGTTCACAGTAGCGTTGTTCAACCAGGTCCAAGATGGTCACTTCTTTAGGATATGCTAGCGTCCATGCGACTACAATAAATTGTATATATGCTAAGGGTGAGCGCTACGATTGTCAATAAATATACACACGTGTACATCTCGCGCTGTCACACATTTTCTTTGGGGTGTTCTAACATCCGTGCGTCTACAAGGCGTTATATATAGGCTGAGGATGAGTGCTACATTTGTCAATGAATCTCAGGCTATCACACACATTTGCGGGTGTATGTGAACAAGTCCCACCCGAACCTGAATTAGGACCTGCAGCGACCAAATGTACTACTCATATTTCTCGACTATTAAAAAGTATACTATGTTAAAGTAAAATATTGTCCAGCTCGTCGAAGTTGAGTGTCGTGTTTTTGTCCTCTTTCATAGGTTGTTTCGTGTTTTCGTACTGTTTTATACTTCGTATCGTTTTTTAAACTGTTTTATAGGTTTGGCATGTTCTTGTAGTTTTATAGATTGTGTCGTGTGATTTTGTACTATATTCTACGCCAAGATCGGGAATCCTGCACATAGTAAACTTTATGTATCGTTAATTTCGAGGTCGTCCTAGTTGGGCCTAGAGGTAATCGAACACCACATAGAATGACTGACGAATGTGCCGCGGTGTATTCAGTACTCAGTATATTGCTAGCAGAGGATAACCAACTACATCTCCAAGATATATAAATTTATTACGGACATCAGTACAGTGCTTTTCTTCGTATTAAAAAGTCAGTACATCAGAACAGTGCTTGTTTTTCTGTTGAGAACGACGTTACAGTGTTTATTTTTGTATTGAAATACCAGTACATCAGTACAGTTCATATTTTTGTTGAAAATATTAGTACAGTGTTTATTTTTGTATTTAAAACACCAGTATATCAGTACAGTGGCTGTCTTTGTGTTGAAAACGTCAGTACAGTGTCTAGCTTTGTATGAGAAACACAAATACAGCAGAACAGTGCTATCTTATGTGTGTTAAAGAACGTCACTGCAGAGTTCATTTTCGTATAAAAAACACCAGTACATCAGTACAGTACATATTTTTTTGTTGAAGTGTATCATACTTAAAAACATCAATACGATGTCTTATTTTGTAATAAAACATCAGTACATCGTTCATTGCTAATCCTTGTATTAAAAAAGTTAGTACTTTGTTTACCTTTGTATTAAAACCACCAGTACATCAGTACAGTTCATATTTTTGTGTTGAAAACATCAGTATAATAGTACAGTTTATATTTGTGCTAAACACTAGTACAAAAGTATAGTGCCAATTTTGTGATACGTATGTCAGTACAATGTCTATTTTTGTATTGAAAACACCAGTAATTGAAAACACCAGTACATCAGTCCAATGCAAATTGTCATGTTGAGAAGGTCAGTACAGTCTTTATCTTTGTACTAAAACCTTCAGTGCATCAGTACAGAGCTCAATTTTGTGTTAAACATTATACAATTAGTCGTATCGGTTATATTGTTTCTACAATTAGTGGTATCGTTTATACTGTATATTTATAGGTTCATTGCCATCGTTTTATACATTTATTACTATCGTTTATCCTGTTTATACAATAATTGCTATCGTTTATACTGTTTATTATATATATATTGCTATCGTTTTATACATTTACTACTATCGTTTACTACTATCGTTTATACTGTTTATACAATTAGTGCTATCGTTTATACTGTTTATTTATAGATTTATTGCTATCGTTTTACTGTATAGATATTAATTTGGCCATGGTCCTGCGGTCGACCCGGAACAGCCGTGTTTTTTCTTCTCGTATATCTTTAGTACACACAATACATGCCACAACCCTAACTGAACGGACTGTGACTTCTAATCCATGTGAGTGCGCATAGCTGTGCACTTGTCCATGGATGTGCGTGTCAGCAGATTCATATATGTGTAGGTGTCTCTCCCCTGGTGGTGCTCAGCATCATACGTATGACTAGGTCTGGGCTGTGGCAATTGTTCCTAGCATGCATGCTGATATTCCTGACATGACCACATGGGTAATGCGCACATCGAAAGCACTACACGCTGGATTTGCATTTCTCATATATACACACCCCAAGAAATCTTTGAGGCACCCTTGTATGACGACAAATGTACTGCCTCAAGCGCAACGTGTGCATTGCTACTTAACCACCTGCGGCCACACTCGCATGCCCCAGTTGACATACCGCATGGGCAATACCTGCATCACGAGCACGCACACCCACGACTCAGCCTCATACGCACCGGGCTAGTACACGCACACACTCCTCACACGTCAACACCAGACACACACTTGCACCTACAAACGCCCCCCCGGCTTCCTACCCGCGCCCTCGCTATCCTTGGTCGGCTCGTTGACCTTCTTATCCAACAGATCCACTCGTGCTTCCAACCGCAAGTTGCGTATACGGGGGTTTGTAGCAGCCGCCACCGCAGCCGCCAGGGTGTTGCCATACCCCTTGTTGTCCATCCCCTTGCAAGACGTGGGGCGGGCAAGTGGTCTGGGATGGAGGTATTCCGTATACAGCTTGCTCATATGATAGGTGGGCAGGCTCTTGCCCAGATTAACGGCCTGCTCGATAAAGTCATCCTCCTCCTGCTTCTCGTACGCCTCTAAGAACCGCCGGGTCAGGATATGGTCGCGTGTGATGGGATAGCGTAGCAAGGTGTCGAGATATGTATTGAGGGCGGCTGCCTTGTTCTGTGTAGAATCCTTTTCTATGTATTTACGCAGTCCGCGTTTTGCCGGGAGTTTCAGTTGACTATAGACACGCTCCGGTATAACCTGGGTTGGTGAGAGAAGGGTGAACATGGGTGGACAAGAGTTGAACTAGCAAGTAACACGTTGACAAAGCGAGTGTATACATAACTTGGTAGACCAATGAAGAACAATCAGTAATAATCCTTTAGAACAAGCGAGAAAGCAACGATACGTGTGGGCTCTGGACACGGTAGAAAAATCCGCCGGTGACTGAACATGTACTTTCAGGCAGCAACTGAGTGCAACAGAAGCAATTGAAGATACCCAAAACCTGCGCGACAAAGTAAAAGACCGTCACAAGTCCATGCAGGACTAAAGGGCCAAGCATGTCAAACCCATCACGTGCGATTTGAACCACAAGCGTATGCATACATACGAGGAAGAGTAGAAATGGGTGTATAACCACTAGTAGATACACTGTATAAGTAGAACACCAAGCATAGACAACGCACCAAGCCGGTCTATCGCCGGTACACCAGCCGCATGCGGGTGTTATTACACGTTCCACCGAAAACAATACACGCGGCCGGGTAGGCATATATTTCAATGAATATCGACAACG